TCATTAATGTTGCAATGTGTGTGCGAATATGACTAATGGAACCCAACATGCACGTATTCTGATTGACCAACGTAGTCATTTTTTATATGCGTGACTGGGATAGTGAGTAGCAAGCCAGAGTTTTGGACAAAACGTCTTTCACAAATAGTTGATCGATTGGCGTTGTTTCTGCGGAATTAATAGAAGAAGAAAGTTCTCATGATTTCCAACTTACGAGTATATTTTGACTGACACAAAGACGTAATTTAGCGTCATTAGGACGTAATTTAGTTGAATTTATTGGTAGAATCCAAATTTTCCTCAAAGTCCTAAACATTAAGCGAAAAATATTTGAATAGTAAGGTGTTTGAAAAAATCAAGATGTTGGCAAACATATAAATAACTAGTAGTTACTGTTAGCCAACTTGTATGCACCGTTTAGGGTATTGTTTGTAAGCTGCTGTTTGTTACTAAAAACAAAACTGAATTATTTATAGGTATTCCATTTTACTTAAAACCCGTATAAATCGAGGGATTTTTAATAGAAAACTTGATCTGAGTATAAGACGATGCTTAGGAAGCAAACAAATCTGCAGAACATGCCATTCCAAGAAAAAAATGAGCGCTGAACATCTGCCATTTGATATTAAGTCCTATGTTTTCTCAAACTAGTGACCAAAAAGCCTGACTTTCATCAACAGTGACAATAACTTTATATTGATAAAATAATGCTAACTTAAGTGTAATATAATAACAGGAAAAATAGAATTAAAAGCTATTTTTGAAAAACAAATGCAAATTTTGAAATTCGTAGCTCCAGAAACTTGGTTGCCATGGTAACATCAAAGTTGAAGCACACGTCACGACGACTTTAAATGTTCCCAGATATTTTTAGGAAAAGTCGCTAAGTTTGTTGGTCAAAGCTTGATCGGTTTTGAAGTTCATCAAGTTTTTCGCCATGGGAGCTCCAAAAGCCTGATAGATTAAATGAAAAGAAGTACAGATAAAGTGGTCTATTAGTTTGACGGCCCTTTGGTGAATTCCTGTTGTGCAAAGAAAAAGTATTTGAACCTGATGATATCAGTAGTCTGACACTGTAAGTTATTACATTCAGTCAGACTTTAAGAGAACCTTTCTCTGGAAAGCACGGCATTTATTTATTTTCTCCTTAATTAGGTAAAATAACCTTCAGAACCGGCAACAGGCATGAATCATCTCACCTGGTATTTGAGGAGGCACACAAGGATTTTTATTACGGGCTTGATATTGACTCCAAAGACAATTTATCAGTGAAGGTTAGACGCAATTCGTTTTAAAAGTTCGAATTATTCGAAAGCACATCTGCTCTTTTAAAATTAGAAAAATATAGTACACTAACTGATATATTAAGTAATTAGAGTTACCGTCCTTCAGCACAGGGTCGGTAATAAGATGTTTTAAAAGAGAATATACCAACACACTCAACGACGAATTTTCACCTGCCTCTAAAAAGCTGTCTCTAATCAACTTAATAACTAAGAATTCATCTTCAGGTAAATTCATTTACATCTGATAAATTAAACAAGTTGGAATAATCGTCACAATCGCAACAATAGAATGCGGAATCGCATTATTCATAACATTACCAATGCAGTCACCGGGTTCTGCAGGGGTAGTTGGAAACTATTCATTGACTATAAATGCTTATTATTTCAGAATTGAAAATTACTAAAATTTAAATTGGATGTTTTTTCTCAACACACTTAGCAGGAGCACCAGCCCTAAAATACCTTTTAGAATTTCTTGAAGATACCCCATTTAAAAAACAGTGAGCCTTTAATGTATCTGATTGCATTGAAGCCATCTTGAACGGTAGAAAGAATCCAATCCATTTTCAATGCATTCACTGCGGCGACTAATGAAGCTATCAAAGTTGGAAACTCTTCACTAATTATTAAATGCTATTTTAGAATTCTAAAACGCCGAATTTTCGACTGGGTGTTTTTTCTCAACAGTGCTGGAAGAAGGACGCAGACCCTTCAAATCAGGCTTCTCTACAATTTCAATCCGCGCAAGTGAACGGTGGGCCTTTCATCAATCTGATCGCGTTGAAGAAATCTGGGGAAGAGAAAACCGATTCATTATTCCTTGCTTCAAGTAGCGATGGGACGTTGTCACTGAGGCCATATCACCACCTCGATGAACCTCACCCGGATGAGCTCTTTCTTAAAACAAATGTCTAGATAGAACAATAAGCATAAAATAGAGAATAAAAGCTAAAGATAACTTCATTAATGATTATATATCTGTCTGGATTTGCAAAAAGGTACCTCCAGGATTTTGTAGCAACAGTCTCATTTGATGCTGTTCAGTAGTTGACCATTTAGTACGAAAAAAACCCTGACAAGCTGCAGTAGGACAGAAAAAAAACAGGTGTTTATAACGCTGTTTACATCTTTCCCCATCCCCCTTCCCCTCTCCCTTACTTATCTTTCACATCATTCTCTCCATGTCATAAAACACTATTGCATTTGAAATCAGCGAGTGCAGTACTAGTTGTTTTCCGTGGTAGGCTAATTTTCTAGGTTTCTCTCTGGCCGCCTGCAGCAAAGTTTTCCGGGAGGCATCAAACGGCTTGGAAACTAAAATTTCGAGGACGTTTTTGGACTTTTTACACTCAGGGCATGAATTTTTCGTCATTTCAGGCCATGGAACCTAAAAATGAGCCTAGCTAGCTGTAAAAAGGGGCAATACGGAGGCAATACGTCCTAGCCGGCATGATCACATGCTGTTTACGGAAAATTCCCTCATCCATGTCAGGAAATTCTGTACCTTAAAGCCTCCCCTAGGGCATGACTCAGCAATTGAGGACATTTCTGCTACGTTTTCAATGTTGGTTAGCATGCAAGGATTTTTCCCATGCCTATCGTCAATGATTTGCTCACTGGTAATAGAGGGGGTGGCCCCAGAGTGGTTTTGCATTGAAATTGGCATGCAACAGAATTTCGCATGCCCTGTAAGCATAATTTGAGGTTCTGTGACCTTCTCACCCAGGCCGCGAGAAGCCTAGGTTCTAGTAATAAGTAATTCATACCCAGCAAAATCTCTCATGCCGGGCATGCCAAATTTTCTGACATGCCCGGCATGCTAAATTCTCCGGAATGCCGGGCGTGCCATAATCTGGGTCATGCCGGGCATGCCAAAATCGGTCTCTGGCACGCTCTCAACGCACAGGTTATAATTCCTTGAATCTACAGATATTTTAAGCGTGGCTGAAAAAAAAAAAAACTAAACAGATCACAGTGCTTATCTTTTGATGTACGGTTACACGATGACGTCATTGCTATTCCTTTCATTTTCATAGATTTGGTTGTCCCAGCGAAGTTTAAATAACAAAAGCTCTAATTTTCACAAGAAAGTAAAACCCTGAGGGATTCTGCCGAAGTAATAAAACAGCGTCATCGTGGAGATGACCTGTTGGGGGATGCTAAAAACTCCTCACCCCTTTTAATGAGTCTTTAATAGGATTCCCACTTCACATTGCGAATAAAATGGAATTGACTGAAATCAGTAAAAAGAGAGACAGAGACTATTTTCATTGTATAATAAAATGCATCTATGTTCCATGAAAGCTTTTAAAAATACAAGGTTATAGAATATCTTTCAAAGTTCATTACAAACTGAGCTAAGCCCCAAAATCACTGTTCATTATTCAGTAAATTATGATGTTTGACAATGCAATGTGCTTGAATATAACGTTACAATTACAAATCTCTCTAACGCAATTTTCCCTACGTTAGAAAAGCTGTTTTTATCTTGTTTCACATTTTGATAAGGAGTCTGAGTTCCTCTCTCTTGTTTTGTAGGCTTGCCAGAGATTAATGTTTTTGTGTCATTACCAGTGTCTGTGTTCTTTGTCTTTAACTCAAAGTAAGTCAGTAATAACTGAGAGTATCAAAGAATTGCTCCCTAGAAAAGTAATTATCTCCTAGTCATGTCTGGAAGTTACCTGTAACAAAAAAGAAATGGAATGTTAACACATGCAAGGGCAATATGAAAAAAAGAAATAGGACATGTAGAGGTCAGCTTCTCTTAACATATTTTCATACTGGCTTGTTGAGTCTGTTAAAGGTCGCAACTAATTGTCTGAGGCTAATTTCACAAGAGTGTGCAATTGAGATAAATGCATGGCAAGTGAAAGAAAACGTGGTTTCACATTAGCCAATTTATTGCGTTGTTCGATGATGTTTACACGCTTTTCTACTGCGAAATAAACCTTTGCATTTGGATTTGCAAGTAAAGATCATACCGAGTTTGACTGACACTTAATTGAACAACAGTTTCATTTTTAAGCAGGCAAGGTGTAGACCCATATAAAGCCGGAATATGTAAAGGAAACTCAGCGAAAACTTTTTCGTATCTTTTTGTGGCGATATTCTCTCACGGCCCGTCAACTGATTAGGGGTTGCGAAGAAAAAATAAATTAGGACCAAAGGTTAAAGCCTGTCCGGTTACATCATTTCGTATGTTACCTAGAGTTCTAATAAATAGGTCATAAAATAGGATTTAACGAGAGCGAATTTGTTTCTCAATCGGTGTACAAAAAAGTGAGGCTATCAAATGAGAAGTTTATAGAGTATCAAAATTATCAAATTAAAAGCTCATATAATTAGGAAAATTCCTATACGAAAACAATGCTAGTGACATTAAATTGATCAGATAAAATTCTCAGAAAATATGTCGAATAAAAGCCTCATTGTTTGCTTTTGTTTTTGCGTAAAGGTAAATTTTTCGGCCCACAAAGCAAAGTTGAAAAAGCGACTAAATCTTAGTTTTTTACATTGAACATGTTTATTAGCTTAGTTTTCGTCCGTTTTAAAAGCTTTATAACCCAATCATAATTTTCGGGTTAAAATAGTACAAAATCATTTCAAAAACCATGTTCATTTAAAGTAGAGCCGGCAAACGTGAACATTTTGTAATTCAAAAGTCCGACCCAGCCAGGTTGTTTAAGCTTACAATTATTTGCATTTAAGCGTCCTATAAATATACCAGAATCGCCTCTCAGAGGCTTACTGTAGCAAAGCATTTTGTAGTACACTCGTAGACAAGCAATGTAAGCCTTAAGTCTTTGCTTGGATGAGATGTCCAAAAGAAAAATTAGTTTTGTGGACCTAAACGCACATTCACAGACTGCTTATATTGAGTTGTTTACAACTTTGCATTGACACGCGAAGCATGTTCATTTTTTTAAAGCGAAATCCAAATCTGATTTTGGCATTTGATTTAAGGATATTTTATTTTGTCTCCAAAAGTGATTGTAATATCCGTTTAATTGTCTTTCAAATAACAGTCAAACTGTGCAGCAAAAATAAGTAACTTTACCAGTACAGTGGAAAAATATGACCGTAGGTGCCAAAAATAATTATACTCGAGCTATAAAATTAGACCTGACTTTTTTTAGCTTTGGTTTCTTATTTTTTGAAGTTTTCTCTAGTCTTCTTAGCAGCAGAAGAAGATTACAAGACATACAAACAGAAACAATCCGAAGTGAACGAGATGACAACCACTTATGCCGGAGTTCTTAGGCATGCTCAACAGCAAGATAAACTGAATGCCAAAAGGCTAATGCACGGGATTTGTTCGATATTCAGGCTTTTTCTTTACCAAATTAATACTAAATTTGTACTTACAGTCTCTCGCAGAATCCATTTCTTGTCCAGCATTCACCAACATCTCAACCATTAACCGCAGAAAAAAAAGACAAACAAGTGCGAAGAGACATGACGACATCGTGACGCCACAGCTGCCACGCTACAACAAACTAGATTCCTCGTCATCCGAAAACACTTCTGCGGAAATTCGGCCGATTTCGTGCATGCTCGGGGCATCTTCGGATGACGCTGATGACGTTGCACAAAGGACTATCGTCAGCAAGGAGTAAAACAGTTTGCGAGATTCGCATAGCCGACAAGGAGCGCACTGAAAAACTAAGCAAAATCTCTCTGAGAAGGCAGTCCAAATTCACCAAATCAGAACGTCTTTGCAGTATTAACGTCGTACTCTCGTACTGACTTGAACGACCTGGTAAGCTTCATTTTCACCAGTCTTTTAATGCTGTTGACCGGGAAACATTCCGACGCGATAAAACTTAAGCATGGATAAGTTTATACTGAGAAGATTTGTTATCTTATTGTTTAAGACGCTTTTCCGCGATCAAATTTAAATCTGGACCCAGAAATGTCAGTATCGGTTTGAAATAAAAGGATTAATCTTTGATTGCAAGTTAAGTATTCTATTTTATGCATGAATAATGTTGTTTTGTTGTGCTTTTTATTTATAAATCCAGGCTTCTGTCTTCAGTTTTGCCAGTCGATCTCGTGACACACGTGACAAACATGACTTTTTTTGTTATAATCTGCATTTATTGCCAGGCATGAAACCTGTAACTTCAAGCTCCTTAAGATATATTTGGCGATTATATGTGATTCGCAGGATATGATGCTGAAGCGAAAATCAAAATCAGTCTCGTTGGGCATGCCAATTTCTTGCCTGGCATGCCGGGCATGCCAAACCAAGTGGCTCCACCATCGGCATGCCCGGCATGCCAAACCAGAGGAGCAAAAACTGGGAATGAATTATCAACCCGGCGAGAGATCTGGGACCTAAGTTTAGCTGGGTCAATTTTGGGCTGCGAGGGCATGAACCCATTTTTTCCATGCCTGTGAGATGTTATTTCTAAGTACCAATGTTCCCTTGAATTTTGTCATGCCTAAATGTATAAAATTTTCCCTCTCTCATTAATCCTCAGACTGGATGCGATTTTTACGCTCGCTAGGCATGTTCAACTGAAAATCATGCCCATACCCTTATTCAAAACAAAATGCTATCAAATTTTAGTTTCCAAGCCGTTATCATTAAGCCTTATGAAGGAACAAGTCTCACGGTGGCTAAACGGGTGAAACAGTACGGTGGCCCAGAAGGGTCACACATGCAAATTAAAAATGTTCTGCAAACTAAAAATGTTACCTGCAAATTAAAAATGTTGCTGCAAATTAAAAATAGTACATGCAAACTAAAAATTGTGCTGCAAATTGAAAATATTACAGTTCATGCGAACTAAAAATTTGAGGCAACGTAACAAATTCGTTGCCGGGAAAATTGTGAAAATTGTGTTTGCATATACAATTTTTAATTTGCATGTAATATTTTTAATTTGCATGGACTGTTTTTAATTTGCAGCAACATTTTTAATTTGCAGGTAACATTTTTAGCGTGCAGCAACATTTTTAATTTGCATGTGTGACCCTTCTGGGCCACCCTAAAACAGTGATCTCGGGCTTGAGACGGAAAGGCATCATATTGCGAACTTTGATGTGGGCGGTGACGAGTATCTGGCCTCAAAAAGGAGTTTTTAGGAGACAAATCTATTCAGCGAGAGCAAAATTGATGCATATTTCTGACCAGGCCAGAGGCCTAGTTAAAAATTGTTTTGAAGCCCGTATTAAGTGTGGAAACATTGTGCCTGGTTGATTGTGGATAGTTTTATCAGTGCCGCGAACGTGGTTAATTGTGTGATTTCCTGAAGTTGTCGACAGGCAGAATTCACCTGCAGGTATATCGTGGTGCTCGTGTAAGAATATTGTGTACAAGCATGAAAACGCTTCGTGAATATTTAGTTGAAGTGATTTTGTCCAAGACAACCGATTCTGGGCTCGAGAAAGGTAAATTCTAGGTCTGTTTTAGTAGGGTATCTCGCTATAAGCCCCATAGTTTGAGAGACTGAAAGGTCATAATTTCTGTCCTTTAGATGTTGTTCATTTCCATACAAATCTGTCGCTTTTACCTTTTATCCTTTCTAAGCGCTAACTAGCGACTCTCAATTGTTTCTTATTCACCACAAGGGTCAAATTGTTAAAACGCACTTGAAATTTCTGTAGGTACCTTTTCATAAAATTCAGACAGATATACACACTAAGGTATGAAAGCTGAAAAGCCATGTTGTAAACTTTTATACTCGCAAATGAATACCAGCCAATCAGAGGAGCGCCCGGTGTTTTTCAGATGTGAGTAAAAATAGTTCGTACAATCAAAATCGCGAACTCCTTTAAGATGAAAATTATCATCAAGTATGTGCTTAACATAAGAAATATTTTGGAATCTAATCAGGAGCTGCTCAGTGGAGCCGATATTCAAAAAAGCCGTTCCTCAGCTATCGTGATGATGGCTGAGAAGTATGGCATCTTAGATAAAAATTGGCTGGGAATTAGTTACTAGGAATAATAGCTTGCTGGCAATTTTTTCTACCAAAACCATTTTTGGCTGTTTAATAAAAGCAGACAGAAGGTTAATAAAGTATTGCTTGGAAATATTGCTTTGAACAATAACGCTTTTACTGCTTAGTACAATAGATATACACTGCCACCGAGATCCAACGCGTGTCAAGCAAGGGTTTTCATCGCACCAAACCCCCAAGATTTCGCACTGGTTCCCGAAATTGGTCTGGCGGTCTGCTTTCATTCCATCGATCTAGCCTATGAAATATTTTCTTATTGTATTACGAACGTACTATAAAGTTACCTAATGTTAAAACGTTGCTATTTTGCGATATCATTTTTAAAAAAGTACGGCACGTCTATCATTACGTTGACAATAGACAAATTGGAAGTTGTGATTCATTTTACTTGGATTTCTCAATTTCCTTTGGACAGAAACCATTTTAGTGGCACAACTGGGCTCCTTATAAGTGCACCTTACCTTTGGTTTGGAAAGGTCGTCTAGTCGTACTTTAACCAAAGGCAGGTTTTAACCAAGCTCACGGGTTTTCTTATGATTGATAGCTAGAAAAGCTTTTAAGGTTGCGGAGTGTTTTTTGTCCAATAAAATTTCAGTCCAGTTTTTCTTCAAAAACAATGCCAGCCATTGTTGAGAGGGTCTGTGGGAGGTCTTGAGCGGAGTGAAGACCTATAAGTGGTTAGGTGTTTTGGACTCCGTATCAAGAGGTCCAAGTTCAGACTGTATCGAGGTCATTAGGACCATTTATACGAAAGATGAGACGAATTCTTACCTAAGACGCGCCATTTCTTAAACGCTCAGTTGACATAACAAAACAAAACAAAAAAATGGGGCTCTAAAAATAACGCATGTGTATTATTCGTTTTGGCTTACCGTATTTCTTAGAATAATGGCCCCCACCCCACCTCTTTTGTCATCTTTTCTCTCTTTTATCCTCTCCCTGTTAAGTTAAAGTGGAATCTGATCCAGCAAAATTGATCAGTGACGAGTCAAGCTCTGAAAAATGGTCAAGGAACTAAATTTAAACGATTAAAAAGCCGATGTTCAGTTTATTTGATGTGATAATTTTTTGATTTAATTGGATAATTAAACAACTTAGGGCGCGACTTCCAGTGAGCAATATTTGAAGTAAACGCCTTCCATGAAATAATCATCCCCGGCTATTATTCGAGAAAATAAGGTATATAACACGTAATATAAAGGTTATTTATACGAGGTTTTCTGCGCCTTAGGGTTGATTTTCACAGTCGCATAATTTTTCACGAGCTTAAATACAATAGAGGCGATGTATAAAAGGTCGCAGGCGGCGCGTAAACGCAAAAAGTTGAAATACTTTGATGAAGGAGAAGTGCATTTAGTTTAGAAGGATCAACAATCCTGCGATTTCTAGGGTAATACCCCTTGTAAAAGGTTTTTTTTTACGATGCATTCATATGCTCCAGTCAGCAGCCATGATATTTTTTACCCGTAAAATAGTCTTGTTTTGCGGGATCAGGTAGGAATTGAATTTACCATTATTTTATTATGCAAGAGTAACTTGACATCCGAAATAGTTGCCTTTATCTGATACTTACTGCTTACGTATATAACGAAAAAGAAAAAGGCAAAAAACGAATAGAAATTTACACATTTATTTATTTATTTATTTATTTTCCACCCTTGCTCTTTTTGCCCGCTTTCTTGGCTTTGTTGCGCATAAGCCTCCTAAACTGGTATCCTCGCCAAACTGCTTGTATGGTTGCAGCAGCTTTGTTTTGCTTCATTTCTTCTTCCAACTTTCTCGCTTTGGCTTCTTCTAAGAGTCTTCTTTCCTCTATGATCGCGTTATATTTCCTCTCTAAAATGTCAAAGCGAGCTTGCAGCTCCGATAGTTCAGCTTTATCGACGTCGTACATTCGTGTATATAGATCGTATTCGTCCTGAGAAGTCAATAAATACACCTCCTTCTTTACAATCCTTACTCAAATAAAAAATCTGCAATACGTTCAAAAAAACCCACACACTGTTCTTTAAGAACAGAGGACTGCGTCTATGTGTGTGTAGTGCTATAGCATAGCAGCCTCACATCAAATCAACACCGACACGTTATATAACCTGCTTGAACAAAAGAAATAATAATGAAGATGATGATGAGGATTATGATGATGAAGGTGGTGGTGGTGGTGGTAGTGGTAAAGGCGACGATGTTGATGATAATGATGGTGATGTTGATGAAACCATGACCGTGACCATGATGATGGCGATGACGACGACGACGATGATGATGATGATGATGCTGATGATGATGTACTTAGTACATAATGCAGCCTGAAGTTGCGAGATATTCAGTCAGCTAATGCTAACAATAAGTACAGTGCTCGCTCGACCAGTAAAATGAAGTCACTGTCAAGACAAAGGTATATATTCACAGACAAATTGCATTTCTATCTTGATACTTATATAACTTCCATGTAAGTCATCACTAAATTGCGAACCAGTGAGTAGGTTCACTTTTTTGGCGGAAAAGGCTTTGAAAAGCAGGAGTGGTCCAGGATTTTTTTTAGGAGGGGGTGCACTCGTCTCTTGCTCTACTTCAACGCCAATAAACCACATAGTTTTTGCAGAATACCAGTTGTATTAGAAAACGGCAGGTCATCTCAGGGGGGGGGCACCCCTGCACCCTCCTCCTAGATCCGCCCCTGAAAAGGATCCCATTCCCCTCCGCGGTTGGCTAAAAATTATTTGTATAGGTAATAGCATGATTTGTAGTGATATCTGGCAAAAATACCACGAGTGATATTTCAAAATTGTTATACCTAATTTCACGAGCCGTTAGGCGAGTGAAATTTGAGACAATTTTGAAATATCACGAGAGGTATTTGTACCAAATATCACGTAAGAATCATGCTATTATTTGTTTATACTACTACCCGCAAAAGGTTTGTAATTTCACATGTAGGTATTTCAAATTAAGCTGAAATACCACTGCTCTAAGCCAATCAGATTGCAGAAATTTCTTATGTAGTAGTATAAACTAGTTAATTAAAAGCTATTTTGCTCTTGTCACTGACCTGTCTGGTATCTAGGTCTGCATCATACTTCTGTACCCAGTTATACACCTCGGTAGCCATCTTGAATGTTCGCTGGTGGTCAAAGACGATAATAAACAGTAACCATTGGCGTTTCCGCGAGATTCGCTATAGCCAATTTATGATTGTGGGACAAAAAAATTGAGATCTTGATACCGCCTCAAGCTATACAGGCACGTGTGGCGCTAAACGGTATGAATTTCGGTTTTTAAAATTTAAAAAAAGCTAAATATTTTGTGAAAAAAAGAAGAGATTACCATTACAATTAAATGAAAATCCCACCAATTGAAACCAAGAAAAAAAATGTCCATAGACATTGACCGTGCAAGGGACCGACGAACTACCGTCAGACTCGGAGGATGTTTATATCCACCTCGGGCTTCAGCCTCGGAGGATAACATCCTCCTCGATATGCATAATATTATTCTTCACATCCTACATAGCCTCATTCAATGATTGCTATTATCAAACCTTTCTAAGGTAGGTTTCATTCTCTCGATGACTTTTCCTGTCTTCTTGAATCTTTTTTCTACAGGCAAAGATGTCTTCATAAAACCTGGCCTCTCTAGCGTTTGAGGCCTTGTTATCATGGGATGTTTGTTTGAGAGCTTCTGTCAAGGTTCTCGTCTGTTGCTCAGTGTTTATTTTTTCGATGAGTTGTAATTCGTTCTGCAGTTGAATGGTTATGGCATCTCTCTTTGCGATCTAGAAACATGTTAAGCTAAATTATTAACAAAAAAAATATTATATATATACGCTTGCAGTCGAAAAAACCAGTTTGACAAGTGGAAAGAAGATTGACTCGTCAAGAATTTTGTATTGCGGCGACTTCAAAGGCTTGACGCCAGTCAGGAAGAGCATCCTTTCCTCCTCCTCACTCAAGAAGACGAAAGGAAGCTCTGCTCACAGGAAGTGTTTATTTTAAATTGCTTTTTTCAATTCTGTGGAAAATCCATACTGATTTCTACACATTTCCTTTGGAGAATTTGTTTTCTTTAGGTGATCATTTTATTAATTATCATAACCCATTCTCTTGGTTGTGTATTGGTATTGTTAGGAGAAATTTGATGTTGGTCACTTTAGGAACTTGAGAAGTTAAACTTCAGGGCCCAGTTGTTAGAAGGCCGATTTGCGCTTAACCCACCGTTAAAAATAAAACGCGGGTTTCTTTTTCTTGTG